GCCCACAAAGAAAATCCTAAAGTGATGCCACACGTTGCTTGCTTTTGAGCTATGATGAGGAAGTTATGACGAAAATGTGCTCATGAAATGATGTCGAAATGACAAGTACAATATCCTCATCCCCCATATTTTTTTTTGTTTAGCCGCTCTTAAATTGCATTTGATGACTTTAAACTCCGTGGTTTACAAAAATAGTGAAGACTATTTTTTACCAGAATCATGTTAATACACGCTACACATAGGTACGCCATACGAAATGAATCAAGCAATAGGATAAAATAGGAGTCAGACGTTTTATGTTAAAACTTTAGATCCAACACCAAAAAAACCCTCGCAAAAGAGATTTCGACCAGTCACTCTGGTCTTCCTCAGTAGACTGACCCAGTGAGGCTTCTCACGTGGCTTCTTTGAATTGTGACGTTAACACTGGGTCAAAGGTATCTGGTAGACGATGTCGGCCCCCGTCGCGGTTCATGATAGTATCAGACGTTTTAGATTGCATCCATCTTTTATCAGGGACTATATTATGTCTTACCTGTATGTCTACCCTTCATCGTCCAACACATAGATAGTTTATGCACAAGAATGGCTGTTGTACTTATGCAAAACCCATTATACACTTCAAACTTATCTCGAAATAATGTTGCATTGACGTCATGATAATGAAAGCTTTATTTGTTTTATATAGGACATATGCTTCAGAAAAAGTGAAAAAAAATACAGTGATGTAAAAATATATGATACTGATTTTGATGTGTGACATCGTTTTTATTCTATATCAAACACAAATGCTTTGTATGATATCTAATTTGACCACAGTAAAACGACGAAGAAATAAAAGCCTTTTTTATTTACATTTCTGTATTATGTAGTTGCAAGCAAATTGTGCCGATCAATACAAAAAAGGGCATTGTTACCGCATATACTTGTGTTACAAATTATGTTGTGGCTGTGATTTTTCCCGATAATCATGTGTGTTGTATAAAACAGTTGCCTTCTTTTTAACCGTTAGGCAGTACCCAAACATTGTTTGCTGTTTTACATAAGCTTTCTTTCTGTGCTTTGTTGGAATTTTAGTTGGAATTCAGTATTTACTATTTGCATCAAATACAATAAATGTAAAATGAAATGTGTTGCAAGACAAATATACAAAAGTTTTGGTGTGGTTTACTGACTTCAATGCTTTTAGATGTTCTTGGAAACCTCGTGGGTGTGCCTGGGGTTCCGCTACATTAGACATAAGTGCTTATCCTACACTGGGGATTTCTGTTTTCAAACTATAATGTACGACACAGTTGACATTGTATAAAAGCTTTTTCTATCCCTCAAGAGAGCAATAGCCTATATGAGATTGAAGAGAAACCATACGGGTGCTATGTAACAATAGCATTTTAAAACAACTTTAGTGGGGAAGACTACTGATAGCAATAAGAAAACAAAGTATGAAGTAGTATCATATTCTAGCTCACATTAACGGGGGTGGCTGAGAGTTATTTTCTCGTTTTAAGGGGACTTTAAAGGAGTACTAACCTCCAGAAGGAAGTGCTATTTTCCGATACATCATGCTGCAATGAATACATAACTAGCCGACTTTTTACATAATTTCGCTTGTACGAGTTGAGCGGAGCATGTTTGTAAAGTGATATTAATATCAATTTCCCCCATGCTGAACCACAATTGATACATCCGGGAATTCTGGCTTACGCAATACTCATACACTTCAGGTCAACATAAACATTTTTCGGCGAAAATGGTAGGAGACAAGCACACTAACAAGCTGATGATTGAGAAATTACTTGCTTTACTTTGCTTGACCTGTGGCTTGGATATTATAATATCAGGATGTCAAATACAGTGGGAGCCAGTTTCATCCTGCGTGTTTTGATTTTCTCAACTTATTTGCATGTAAGTATCACTTGAACAGATAATTAGATTACGCCACTTTTGGAAAGGATAACTAGATTACGCCGTTTTTTTCATCGTCAATATTTGCGGCATGAATGAGGGGCGATAAGGACACCAAGAAGGGCAATGGTTGGTAAGATACCAAAGAACACAAAACGGTATGAATTTGTCTTATCGCCCCGAAATGAGGTCTGTAACGTAACTTTTTGTTTAAAACATAGACACTAATGGGGTAGCGTGGTGTATTCTGGGATAGTTTTGAGGGTATTTGGAGAGTTTGTCCTGGATTCGATGCGTTTTAAGACTTGCGCGCAAAATGGGCATTTAATTGTATACTGTAAAATAATATGGATTTTTCAATTCCAAAAATAAATGCCTGTCGAAATATAGTACCTCCTTCTGGAGGTAAGTACTCCTTTAAGGGCTCGAAATACTGGGTGCATATGCACCTTCCTTGGTGCAGTTAAAACTGGAGCTGTGCAGATATTTCTGATGTCTACCTGCACCTAACCTGCACTGGTCCGTGTACTAGGTATATACAGGTAAGTGCAGGTAAAACTGGAGCTGTGCAGATATTTTTTATGTCTACCTGCACCTAACTTGCACTGGGCCATGTACTGGGTTGGTGGATGCATGTAATTGATGCCTTGACTGTCACCAGATATACAGAAAAAAGTATTTCAAGCCCTGACTCTAAATTACAAAGTTTAACTTGGTGTGCCACTAGCCAGGCATTGTCCTCCATCTTTACGCATAGTTATTTTGAAGGTAGATGAGTTAGTCCTCCTTAGGTTGTTTCGGTAGGAAGGGGATCTCCATTAACAAAGCCGCCATGAAGTCCTCTCCTCCCCGCTGGATTTGCTCCTGGTTGTCCAGAGGAAGAACGACGTAAACCAGCCACAGTCCGAGCCCAGCGTTCACGGCAACAGCCATAGCAGTAACTACAACCAAGGCGGCAAACACCGCATCATCATGGCCCTTCTCCCCGGTAGAAACAACCCCGTACACCGCCCCGCTTGTCGCCAGGCACGATAGCAGAAACATTGCCGGCAGAGAGAGCCGAATGGCTCTGACAATCTCGACGACTTTCTTGACATTTTGGCTGACCACAGTGATAATGACGCGGGCCAGCTTTTTGATAGTCCAGAACAATAAAACTGCCTCTAGCAAACATGCGGGACCGCCGATGAGAACTAGGGCGATCCTCTGAAGCCATAGCTGGGCCCCGGCCTCGGCGGACACCCAGGCTAGGGAGTACATGGACGAGACAAGGCCGAGGTGGGTCATCAGGGCTGCCGAATTAGACGTTACGCATTGTACGATCACGGCGAAATTCGTCTGGTCGGGGTCGAGTCCAAAAGAGATCAGCACTTGGTCCAGAAGTGCAGAGGTCACGATCAGGGAAACGAGGATGGCTGCAGTGCTGAGACATACCGCTAGGGACGCTGCCAACCTGGTGGCGTAAGTTGTCTCAGAAATGTCCAGCCACGGATGTGCGATGAGGTAGCAGACCGTGACGTAAAGAACCAGGCATGCGCAGATTCCCGTGAGCATGGCTAGTGTGAGCACCTTGGTGACGTCAGAGCCCTCGTGTTCCCTGGAGGATCGCCAGGTGGCGCTGCGCACACGTCGCACTTTGGAGACCAGACTGGACACCAGTTTACCACAGGTCACCAGGACGGCGATAGACAGGACCAAGACTAGTGTGGCGTGGTTGGCAAGCAGAAGCCGCGACTGTAAAAATCAATAAAACACACCTAAATCAGCGCACAAAAACATGTGTAAGATTCACGTTGTCACAATCTTCTGTAGTGAAACAATCTACCACCTGACCTGGTGCAATATATAATATGATGAATAAAAAATGAAGTGCTAAGTGTGCTAAGCCGAGAAAGCAGTATGTAAGATTTTAAAAGTCTAATTGGTATGACTCGGCCGAAACCGAACTCACTCTACTACCCACTCTGCTACCCACTTGGCGCATTGCACCGGCACTAAATTTTTTGGATTTTGCCGCCATGAAGTTGTATTGGATGCCTTTAACCGCAGTCGACCTCACCTTGACGTCGTCCTTCTGCCAGAGTGCCGGCAGATCCTGCTGCACAGCACTATATACACCCGTCCCGAGAGCAACCGCGGCACACAGGAACTGGAGTAGCGCAGACAACACACCGGGTCTTCCTCGGATGTCTTCTTCTTCTTCTCCCTGGTTATAGATAAGTTATTAGGTTATAGTTAAGATGTAAGGAATAGTCTTGACGTAGTGTGTGTGTGGTAACGGCAAAGTGTTCGGCTCAGAACCTAGAGGTCACGGGCGCGGGTTCAAATCCTGCCACGTCACCGATTGGGAAATGTACGATGTCCCTCACTTCGAATTCACTCAGGTGGAATAAGTACCTGGCTTCGGTTAGGGACGTCCCTTTGGATAGGACATTAAAAGGGGGCCCCGTGTTTGCCACACCACACGCACGTTAAAGAACCCACCATATCTTTCGAAAAAGAATAGTGTAAAAATTGAAGATCCTAATGAAACAAACAAACAAACTTAACTGCAGAAGGAAAATTATGCCTGTTTCCAAGATAGATGGATAGATTGAACCCTTCGGAACAAAATTATCTACTAGCACGGGAATGTTTCAATTGGGATCAGAGCTTTCGTCATGAGAAATTATCAGATCTTCACCGTTCCAGAAGGTTGAACAAACAAAAACAGTTGTTAGAAAACGATAGAATTTAACTTCTTTGTTAACTGTTTAAACGTTCTTACAAGTATGTTGGAATAAACTTTACCTCGCTCGACCACGAAGATTCTGTGCTAATAGTGCTGGACTTGACTGACAGCCTGCTCTTTCTGCGCGTTGTGGGCGGCATCTTCTGTTGAACACTCCTGTCCCGTTGTTTTGTTGTTGTTGTTGTTGTGACAACACAGTATGAAATTTCAAACACAGGCAGGCGTATGACGTCACTATTCGAATCAACGCTTGTTCCATTCGATTGTTTCGAAATGTTCGGTGGGTTGTTCGATTTCCATGTTGTTTTGTCAACACAGCACACAAACGCGCAAAGTCAAGTTACAGCATGGGCGATAGGCCACCGAGTTTTTGTTGAGATCGTTGTTACTTTATTCAAATATATACATGTACTTTATAGGTAACTGAACAACAAATTCACTGTGCACTCCGTACAAGATTCCCGAGAATCATACCCTGAACACATAACACCGTGAGGTCGGTCCGTTGAAAGATCTTGAAAGATTCCCGAGAATCATACACTCAACACTTCCGTCAATGGTTGAGTTTGAAAGATTCCCGAGAATCATACACTCAACACAACACACCGTGGACACAGTCCGTTGAAAGATTCCCGAGAATTCTCCACACTCATACATATATAACACATACTGGGTACTTGGTCGGCTGAATCACACTAAAAAGCACTCTCATTACTTAGCTGTTACTTCCGAATGGGCGTTCTGATAGAGATAGAAGGCGCAAAGGCCGACGGGAGTAGAACTGGTTTCGCAGTTATTCGAACGCGTTCGCAAAACCGCTGCTCGACTCGATAGAACCCCAAGCCGGGGCTAGCGCTAGCGATGATAACTTCAAAAAGTGTATACTAGTACTTAGTACCTAACCAAGCTAAAGCGTTCGGAAGTCGCCGTTGGGCTCTCGGCAATCTTCGGTATATGTTCGTATGGTTCTTTGGAATCCTTGTCAGGTTGTAGACCGAGTTCACAGTGTGTGTTGAGTGTATGATTCTCGGGAATCTTTCAACGGATTATGTCCATTCCTTGTGTATTGTGATTGCAACGGACTGAGTGAGTAACGCATTACATAGTGTATGTTATAACATAATCAAAACAATCGAGTTGTAAAATAGTTTTTAATGGTTTACAAAACAACATAGTTTTCAACAAAAACTCGGTAGCCTAGCGCCTGTGGTTACAGTCACCATTCATGATTTCCGGACAGGACCCTATCATCAAGGTAAATATCCTGGCGTTTTTTAGAAACAAAATGTTTCATTTTATCCATATCTTAAGTACCTGGAAAGATACCATGGTGCAGACTGCCGAGTGGTAAAAAATTACCTTCGTGAACACCAAAGGCAAGTACTCGGTGTTGAATTTGCGTAGAAACGTAAATAAACGGTAGACCAATCCTGTGTACTTACTCCGAACTTACGTAACGTCTAAGGCACACATCTTCCATCACCAATATGGAACCAAACTGGTGTACCGGGTTAACGCCACCAAATTTAAAGCAGGGTAGACTTTTTAGAAATGCTGTTGAGCATACAAAATACAGCATCCTTCAGTTTCAGTTTCAGTTTCAGTTTTATTGCAGTCAACTTGCCTGTACAAATAAATTTGTGCCATGAAATACGTTGACAGTTACATCAAAATGCAGTAAAAACACTGGGCTCTCAGGAACACGATTTAAAACGGTACATTATTATATTAAAAACGGACATTGTTGTACATATATAAAAACAGCTAAAAAGCGAACAAATGTAAACAGCAAGTACAAAGTATATCAGTTCCCATCGCTTAGCTCATGTTGTACAGCTTAATGGCTCTGGGGAAGAATGACTGTTCATGTCTCTTAGTACGGCTACGTGAAGTCATGACATGTCTAACTCGTCGGAGGTCATAGCCACTACGCAATGGACAGGATATAAAACAGTTCAGTGGGTTATCCTTATCATCTAGGATACTCCGGAAGACACGTAGTGTTGCCTGGTCACGCCTGGACGCCAAGGTAGGTAAGGAGTTCGTAGGGATGCCCATGATTCTGCAGCAGCGCTTTTGTACTCCTTCGAGAATGTGAGTCAGACGAATGGGCAGTCCTCCCCATACAGGACTAGCGTATTCCAAGATCGGGCGGATGAAAGACAGATATATCTGAGTGAGTACGTCCGGGGGAAGTCCAGCTTTCCTGGCGGCAGCAAGATAATAGATTCGGGGTCGGGTCTTGGATAGCATATACTGAACATGAGCGTCCCATGTAAGGTCAGCAGAGATATGTACGCCAAGTAGTTTGAACGAAGTAACCCTTTGGATCTGCTTGCCATCTACAGTAGGGTGTGGGGGCACAGGGACATTCTCCCTTCTCCTCGCGCTGACGATCATGTCCTTAGTCTTATCCCCATTAGTTGCTAGCGAGAATGGCACGGCCCACTCGGTAATGGCGTCCAGTGCCCTTTGTGTTTGGCCAGGAAGCGACCCCATTAGGTATTCACTGTTTGTTAAATCGTCGGCGTATTTGACTGGGAACACAGAGGACGGTAAACAGGTGTCTAACGAGTTAATGCAAATGACAAAGAGCAGTGGGGAAAGCAAACCACCCTGAGGCACACCCGCTAAGACTTCACGTGGTTCAGACAAACATGCTCCCCACTTGACCCGTTGGATTCTTCCCTCCAAGTAGCTGTGTATAGACAACCACAGATCCCGCCTTACTCCAAAGTCAGCCAATGTTAGTAGTTGCTGAACACCATCCACACAGTCAAACATACATGTCCTTGGTGCTGAACACCATCCACACACAAACACACATGTCCTTGGTGCTGAGCATCGTCCACACACAGGCTAACACACCTTTCCTCGGTGTTGAACACCATCCACACACAAACACACCTGTCCTCGGTGCTGAACACCATCCACACACAAACACACCTGTCCTTGGTGCTGAACAACATCCACACACAAACACACCTGTCCTTGGCGCTGAACACCATCCTCACAGGCAAAGATACCTGTCCTTGGTGCTGAACACCATCCACACACAGGCAAACACACCTGTGCTTGGTGCTGAACAAAAACCACACACATAGAGGCAAACATAATATTAAGTATTACAAAAACACTTGTAAATCTCTAGGACTCCATCCTTATGACATCAATTTATTTTAAAAAAATGCATGATGCACCCATTAGCAGAAACAATTACCAATAAAAATCCAGACCTGCATTGAATATATCAACCTATTACATGGAAAGTTTTAGCCTGGGTACCATCCCCAGTAGTATATTCGCAAACTCTATAACTGGGTCTGGACTTCAACACATATGTAGCGCCTGGAGTCTAATATTCGTTCAGATTTTGAACGAGCGCGCTGATTGGTCCTACTCGTCTAAGCCCTTTTTTGGGTGTGTACATATTAGGTAAGGGCTGTTCGGATGTCCGAACGGCGACGTTAGCGTCCGTTCGAACGTCCGAACGCCTTATCATCAACATGTCCGACGGCGAACCGAACGCTAAAGCGCACATGATATAGCCGTAGTCAGTCTTTCCGTGATAAATCATCAACATGGCTGACGCACAAGCCGCTCAGCTCACGGAGGTTGATGTTGACCTTGCAATCACGTCCGTTTTGGACGATTTAGACGGAATATCGTCGCTCAAAAATGAGCAAAAAGATGCATTGAATAATTTTGTTCGTGATGTTTTGGGCGTCCTACCGGTATTTAAAAAAAAAAAAGAACGCACCGAGAAAAGGAATACTCGCGCGAAGATCTGTGTTTACAAAACAACAAACATCACTTGAATAATGCAGGTGCGCCATTGGCCGTCGCCTCTGAGGCTCAGCCAATCAAATGAAGCCCCGCTGCTCGGGCTAGCTCATTACATGACGTCATGACCAATCGTTGTATATGTGTTCAAGTCCAGACAGAGTTATAGAGTTTGCGAATATACTACTGGGGATGGTACCCAGGCTAGGAAAGTTTAGGCACAGGTTAGCATATAAAATGCCTGCACAGTTCCAATTCTACTTGTACGAAGGTGCATATATGCACCCAGTATTTTGAACCCTTGTAAAAAATGGCCAGTTCAGTGTGGTAAAGGTTACGCACGAGTTTGTGGGTGAAGACAGTTGAGGAAGACCGTTGCTGAGGTGACAGTGTGGTGGTTCTTCAGTAGCCAGATCCCTGCCCGGAGAGCCCGCTCCTCAGCTGCCGGACACCCCTCCACATCAGCCACATGGGCCGCTCCAATGATCCTACAGACGGAATGCAAAAGTCGATGTGATGTTCAGGGGTACCAGAGTATACAGTGCAATTTTACGGAATACAGTGCAATTATATTAGTATACAGTGCAATTTTAAGGAATACAGTACAATCATATTAGTATACAGTGCAATTTTTATTTAGGCCATGTTGATTTGATTGTATGGATGGCATCCGCGGGCGCATGAATTTTCGTCTGTTTCCAAAAAAATAAATACGTAGTCCGTGTTCGTTCGACCATACTACAAATCGTACAAAGCAGCCGCAGAATGAGCAAATATATGCCTTAAGTTACAAAACGAATATTGGAAGACGATACTAATGTCGTAGGAGATGCCAAAATCAGTCCAAACGGCAAAGAAGAAAATGTGAAGAAATAAAAATGAAGAGTCTATTTTTCGCCATACCATACATCGTCTACCAGATACCCTTGACCCAGTGTTGACGTCACACTTCAAAGAAGCCACGTGACAAGCTTCACTGGGTCAGTCTACCGAGGAAGACCAAAGTGACTGGTCGAAAGCTCTAGGTGAGAGAATTTTTTGTGTTGGAACAAGAGTTTTAACTTTAAACATACTCAAATGTTTAGTCATTTGCTTAACCTTCATGACGACGTAGATTTCATAATGAAGGCAACTTTTTTGCCACGATTATTTTTTATTCGCCCTCTCGCATCAGTTCTGGAGTCCCAGAGGATGTCATCCACATAATCAAATCAACATGGCCTTAATGATAAAAGTATTTTTGCTCATTTCATACCCCTCACCTTCTGATGACCTCACATCCTGCAAAACCGGCGACTTCCGGCATGAGCTGGGAGAAGTACGATGTCGCATCTTCTCGTGTTGTCAGATGTTTGCTGTATGTTTCACCTGGATAACAGAGATGTAAGACCTGTCGAGTATTGTTGGGTTTCTTGATCTCAAAATAACTGCATTATGAATGAATTAATAAATGAATGGTTTATGATAAGTGGTACCAGGCAGCTAATAAAAGCTGAATTGCGTACTCTGTACAATACAACACAGGGAAAATAGAAGGGGCGTCGATCTTGAAACTGCATTATAAAACATCAATAAATAAACCAATAAAAACAATTTTTGTTTTAATTATGATTGCAACATAGATCTGGCAGGGTTTCTGGTTTCACATTCTTCTTATTATCATTTACTAAAATTGGTTTTTATGCGCACATAAACAAACAAAACAATACCTGTCAGTAAAATCGCCTGACACAACAGTTCACAGAACTCCCTGCTTTCTGCACCAGTCCCCTTCTCCTTGTGTGCAGAGTAAGAAAAGACGTAGCTGGCCAGTAACAGACCCAGATCAAAGGCCGATGGACCGACGTACGCAAACTCCGCGTCTATGACCTGGGCATGAAAGGCAGACTAAATTCACAAGGAAATTGTTACTCAAGCAACTGGATAGGTTTCGAAAGCTATCTGACGTTTTAAGTAGCATCCGCTGCTTTTCAGTCACTGACAAAAAGTGATTGCTACTTGAAACTTCTGACAATTTTCAAAACCTATCCAGTTGCTTGAGTAACAATTTCATTGTGTATCTCAGTACCTGGATGTCTAACCTTTATTAACGGCACTGCTAAATTCTACGGTCAAAGCACTAATGAATCTAATTCTAAAGACTCTGTGTTCTACAAGCAAAGCTGCTCTAATTTTGAAATGACAAATTGTTGTTTATTGCATAGACAAGACGGGTGAAAATAACCCTGTCACTGGATTCAGGCCATTGTCTCCATGAAAACTGAGCTAGACTGAGTTGTTTTGACATGTCACCACATGCACATCCCACAAAACCTAAAAACATTCATGGAGGTATAAAATAAAGAATTCTTGTCGTGAATGTGTTGTGTTCCCTACCTTAACACTTCCATCCCCAGGTCTGACAAGAACAGACCCGCTGTGGAGATCACCGTGCACCAAGCACTCCCGCTTCTCCAGGAAAAGTCGCTTAAACTTTCCCACGATGCTTAGTAGTTCCGTGTCATCGTGCACAAGATGGAGGATTGCCGTTATTGGCTCTGAGCTGTGATTGGTCGGGTCGTCCTTTTGAAAAGGCCGCGTGAAGATGTACTGTTCTGTTAGAGATACCATGGCTGGGTTTCTGGAAGCAAATCAGTAAGATTTTAATTCTCTTAGGTTATTTTGCAAGGGTTTTGCACTTTTTCCATGATCTGCGTTAGCACATTCATATTGACTCATGTACACACACACACACACACACACACACACACACACATACACACACACATACACACACATACACACACATACACAAATACCTCTTTCATGGAGATAAATACTCAGAAATGTTTGGGAACAATCAGTCTTGGGATAATAATTGTCAAGACTGCTCACCTTGACATAACACATAGTATCCAATCATAACGTTACAATCCTTAACAAGTGTATTCCAATTGCCCAGTCCAAAGACATGGCCTCCCTGACAAAATGTGAAGTATAGTGATAACTGAATAGCTCATTTTAAACGTAAGCGATAGATAAAAATTAGTCACCTGAATGATGTCAGTAGTTCATTTTGGCTTTGATGACACGTTGCTGAATGAACACGGGCCATAAAAACTGCAATATTCCTTACAGCTGCTAGATGGAGCTTGCCTCTGATCAGCTCTGCTTGTAGTGTGACGTACCCATCAGAGAGGTCCTCCATGACAACTGATGCAGACAGTAGGAACAAAATGTATATACCAGATAGGCTTGCCTAAACCCCAACACACATGTTGAACATGCAGCCTGAAAGGTAGGGCGTAGAGCGTTATAAAGATTATAAATATCCAGAGCTTTACACCAGTTGTACTGAACATGTACATTGAAATTTAACAATATGGTCACACTGTTCAAGTAGAAAATAAAATATAAAAAAATAGAATATAATAAATAAAAACAGCTTCTCCTTTTTATCTTTCTCTAGATCTGTAAGATAAGTTTCAAAATGAAATAAATGGAATAGGTAAGCATGCCATAAAATCACACCTCAGCCAGCATGTGAGTGATACCTTTAAAGGTGGTCTTACGGCTTGCCTTCTAAGATAAACACCCGATGTTGATGGCAACCTGAAATATTGGTAGCCTTCTGGCTTAGGTTGCCTACTTGCCAACCTGAATTGGGTCGTGTGGCGTACCGGTAGAGTGTTCACCTCGGAACCAAGATGTCCCGAGTTCGAACCCTGCCATGCCATCGATCTTTTGCCCTTGGGAAAGGTACTTTACACGAATTTCCTCACTTTACTCGGGTGAATATGAGTACACATGTATGTCTGTTATCCGTTCATGCGTTTTTCTGCGTTAGCGGTGGCATAAATATAAGTTGAAAAAACTTAAGTGTGCCGTCGCCATGTCTTGTAATAAATGTTGGAATAGAAAAAAAACTGAGGAAAAACGATTTCCTGCTTACACATGTGCCTGTCCTGGATGAGAAGGTAAGGTCGAGGACTGTAACCTGGGATGATTTCGTGAAACTTCTGCAGCGCCTGGTACTCAATGGTGTAGCGATGGACACTCAAGGGATACTCTGGACCAAGGCACTGGCACGGGGAGAAAAAAAATTTTGGTCAGTCTTTTTGGTGCCCCTGGCGCTAAACACCATCTACACACTGACTAACATACCTGTCCACAGGCATACGCACCTGTCATTTGTACTAAAAACCATCCACACACAGCTAGGCAAACATTCCTGTCCCTAGCGATGAACACCATCCACACACAAACATTCCTGTCCTAGCGATGAACACCATCCACACACAAACATTCCTGTCCCTAGCGATGAACACCATCCACACACAGGCAAACATTCCGGTCCTTGGTACTGAACACCATCCACACACAGGCTAACACACCTGTCCTTGGTGCTGAACACCATCCACACAGAGACAAGCATTCCTGTCCTTCGCGCTGAACACCATCCACACACAGACTAACATACCTGTCCTTGGTGCTGAATACCATCCACACGCAGGCAAACATTCCTGCCCTTTGGTGCTGAACAATATCCACACACAGACAAGCATTCCTGTCCTTAGTGCTGAACACCATCCACACACAGGCAAACATTCCTGTCCTTGGTACTAAACACCATCCACACACATGCATACGCACCTGCCCTTTGTGCAAAACACCATCCACACACAGACTAACATACCTGTCCTTGGTTCTGAACACCATCCACACACAGACTAACATACCTGTCCTTGGTGCTGAACGCCATCCACACATAGGAAAACATTCCTGCCCTTGGTGCTGAACACCATCCACACACAGGCAAACATTCCTGCCCTTGGTGCCGAACACCATCCACACACAGATCTGTATGTAATTTGCATATGCATTAAAATTTGTACACAATGTAAACAAAAATGGCCATCATTCATTCGTATAGATTTTGATTTTCCAACAAAATATCTGTCGATGTCCTTTGGCCTAACCTTGATGAAGGTGGGGCTGCCTTTACGATGACAGATGACGCAGGGTCCTGTCTGTGGGACCACACGGAATACGTGGTTGAGGTTTCCGTCCCCCACCTCGGACACGTCACAGGCACCCTGCACAAACTGTACAGAACGTACAAGATAAGATTTGGTGGTGGGGTCGTGTGGCGCAATGGCAGCGTGCTCGACTCGGAACCAAGAGGTCCCGGGTTCGAGTCCTGACATGCCACCGATCTTGTGCCCTTCGGAAAGGCACTTTACACGACTTTCCCCACTGAACTCAAGTGAAAATGAGTATTGTCTGTCCAGTATTCGTTTCTATGTGTGAGAAACAACACCAGGAACATCTGCCTTTGTCCCACGCGTATTGCACTGTTGCAATTTCAATAAATCTAATCAAAATTAAACCAAATCAAGATCACTCTGGTGCCGATGACTGGCATTTCTCCTGTCGGAAATTTGTTGAATAATTCCGAAAGATGTTACAGTATTAGTAATATTATTATTACACCATTACAGTGTATGAAATAGGTTGATAGTGACCATACATACCTGAACAAGACTGGAAACCCTATGATACCAAGGTAGAAATTCAGTTCAATGCGACATGTGGAATATTGGCTGTAATGTTATTGCTTACCTGCGCCACCTAGCGAAATCCATTGAAATCACACGCCCAATACACAATTGCATAATCATGAGTTAGCGGAACAAACATCGGTGCCAGCGTAATTATACCCAACTCAACGCTGTCGGCTGGAATACAAAAGAGTCAGACATACAAAGTATATTACAGGGTGTTCTTCAGTCGACACGTCAGAGAGCCCATGTTATCGTGGTGACTGATAGAGTGAGACTGAGACGTACATGTTAGTAAACCTACCTGCAAACATGGAATATGAGTGACGTGTTCCCTCAACACACGGAGGAGGCTTTCCTTATCCATTACTTATGTGCACCAACCTTCGAACAAGTTAAACGGCTGCAAATATGGTGCACAGAGCACATGGGGCTGGTCCGTGTACGTTAGTACCTACATTTAGCTTTACTACAGTACTAGTGGGAGTATGTATCGTCTGCGTCCCGTGACAGTCATGTGATCTTTTGTTTTCCTTCCATTTGGGGCATTTACTTTAGTAGAATGATGTACGTGTATTGTATCTAATACGTGTTGAGTTTTAGATTTGAAGTGTTTCATGTGCACAATGCAGTTATCAATAGTATAGCCGTGAGATAGGTTCTTGTGGCACAGTCTGCCCACCTGTCTATACGGGCGTTCGCTGTTTTTGTTTACATTATGTAAAGTAGGAAGGCAAATAACCGAACTATCATCCCGAGTTTTATGTCTACCACCCGCTGCAGTTATTACCTTTTGTTAACATATAACGCAATTGGAAACTACCCAACGAATTGAGGGTGCGTCGAATCAAAGTTTACAACCTAAGTAACAAAACTTGTGTCTGCCTAACCCACATGCGTAGTTTGTTGTGTCGGGCGTGTACCCGCGTGTGCACAGGGAGTTTAGTTTATTTGATGAAGGAGATTATGCAATGTCATTGATTTGATCAGTGAACCACTGAGGACAAAGTACAAGTGACTACTCCCAATACTTTTAGAAACCTTTGACCCACTTTGGTTCTTTATGACGTAATCAGGGAGGTGTACATTGCCCAGCTCGAGAGAGCTACCGTTCGGCTACCTGATCATCCAAGCAGATCTTATCTAGAAGTAATTAGGACACTGTGGCGATACAAAACGTAAATTTTGTGGTAATTTCTTCAAAAAGCCAGTAGAATCAACCATACTCATTGCAAATAAGTGCCATTGAGGAAGTATTAGGTGTCAAATAAAATAGGACGGCTAACGAGCGTGTTTCAAAGCTGGAAACACAGCCATACCATATTCTGTGTGTTCTTACTGTTAAGTCATTTATTCAACATTCATGGCCGCGTAGATTTCATAATGAAAGCAACTTTTTAGCCAAACATTTTTTCGCACGCTCGCATCAGTTTTGGGGTTACCAGATCAGAGGATGACATCCATATAATCAAATCAACATGGCCCTGACTAGTCAAAACACTAACAGAAATCTGATACAGCTCAGTCAATCAGCTGGGCGAGTGACGTCACGCCATACCGGAAATGAAAAGCCGGCCACCGGCGCAAGCGTAGAGACAGCCCCAGTATGACATGTATGTATGGTGGTACCGAGGTGACATTTAAAACATGCAGCCAACTCCAGAAACGAGTCCGACAAGTTTAGTTCTATTGTTCCTTTCGCCGGTGGCTGTCCTTACTGAGGGTGTGGTGGTGTTAGACCGTGGCGTAGATCGGCCTTGACACGGAGAAGGAAGCTACAGACAGTCGTGAAACACCAGAAAACTTCTGATCAATGGTAAGTCGTGGGCACATAGTACAGCACATGTAACAGGTCTGCAATATACACAACAGCCCTGAAATACATAGTACGTAATACAGCACGATCCAGCCTGGTGTCCAGTCTATCGTAGCCTGGGGCGAGTTGTTTTCGGGGCTCTAATGGTTTTCCCCCGTCCAGCTCAACTGGCCGCCCGGTGGAAGTGTTACGAGCTGTAGGGTCAGCTTTTTGTACGCCAGGAGTTGAATAGCAGTACCTGGGTCGGGCGGCGAAGAGCTCCTGTAGTCCCGAAGAGAACCCGCCCCTACCACGGTAGACTGGACACCACGACCAGGCATCAGACAGATATAGACTTTGCCCCAGGTGGGAGAGAAAGGGGAGGGGGGCACGTCAGGTCAAACAATGAATGAAATGTTTGTTTTGTATTCTAATGCAAGGTGAGAGAAATACAAAACTCGAAGCCCTCAGTTTTGTCTTGCATATATTTTGAACCATATTCTAGTCGCCCTGGCACAGCATGTCTAATGGTTGAGTAGTACGGTTTGATGGTGCATCGTGGCGACTACGAACCGCCAGACTTGCCTGGTGAGACAGGCATTCGGTATGGCACCGTGCAGGGGACGGGGGAATGCGTGATAAACACGGCATGTGGCCGATAGTGTTACCGTTCCGGACGTGTGGGGGGAACCACTGAATGATTTCAGGGGTGCACGTTAACCTAGATCGCGAAACACTTTCAAACAGTAATATTTCGACAAGATCCACAGAAGAACTAGTAAACCATCGAGTCAATACAGTTACAGAGTTATTAAAGGGACTGTTAATAGGGCACAGTCATCCGTGAGCTAATTACGTTGTTTGGGGTGTAGCTAAGGCCATGTTGATTTGATTATATGGATGACGTACTCTGTACGTGTACTCCTGCAAGAATTTTCGTTTCACAAAACAAAAAAGTTTTCGACCTTACAGTAAGTCGTACAAAGCAGGTACAAAATGAGCAAATATTATATGTCGTTAATTCAAAAAAGGTACTATTGGAAAACGACGCTATTGTAGAATGCCAAAATTCATTCCAAAAGAAAAGAAGAAAATGTGAAGAGATGAAAATGAGAGCCTGTTATTTGCTTTACCATACTGTGTGTGTGTTTAGATATTTGTTAAACTTACGTAGATTTCATAATAAAGGCAACTTTTTTTTGCCAAACCATTTTATTCTCGAATACGTCTTTGGATTCCCAGAGAATGTCATCCATATAATCAAATACGCCGCATTTAGGCCTAAGGTGTTAGATCCCATTTTACCCTAGGCAAATCCACCATAATTAAGGGTCTTGATTGTGTGAAGTGCGAAGACACCGACCCAGACGAAAACAAGTTGTCCAAATATGAACGTCTCATCCTAGCATTAGAAGTCTATTGTAGCATTTGCTGAGTTTACAGCAGCGACTGTAGGCCGAGTTTACACTGCCCACCACTGAGTACGTACAAACTAATCTCCAAGCAGATCTTTTGGTGGGGGTAAGACAGTCAAATTGGCCAGTCTGTATCCATTTCCATTTCCCCGGGGAAATGGATACAGACTGGCCAATTTGATACTGTCTTACCCCCACCAAAAGATCTGCTTGGAGATTACTTACAAACGATGTGTAGGCGAAAGTGAAAGGCCTTAATATAATGTGGATCACACACACAAATTTGAAAAAAAAAAGACTCCCCCTTTCATAACAAAGTCTTTTTCCTCTGTCCACTTTAAATCTTTGGATCAGCCCTCGATCATCTAATCGGTGATGGAAAGCAGAACACAAGATAAAACTCACGCAGGACAGTTCTGGGTCACACTGTCAAGAATTTACCTCACAAAAATGATTTTTATTACCATCGCCTTAGGCCATGGGGTGAAGAGCTAAATGCATACTGTACTCGTAGATAAAGATGACTCAAACTCAAAGGCTAATTCTGTTACAGACACATAGTCGAATTCGGCGTCCCAAACGCTAGCTCAACGCCCCCAACTATGGTTAGGAGTAGGTCGGGACCAAGGTCGGCTGGTGTTCGGCCAGGTCGGCTACTGTTCGACTACATGTACACCAACCGAATGTTTCAAAAGTTTCAAACATTCTGGTGTGGACGGGAGGTTCGGTCATGGTTGACTGGTGTTAGTGTGTCGTTCAGGGCATGGTTGGCAGTCAACTTTGACTCAAATTTAGCTCAAAGTCGATTCGTATAGAAAGGCTTGGCCTTAAAATCTGGCCGGCTGGTGTTCGGGGGAAGGTTCTGAATGTGTGAAACCGGCTTAAGGCGGTGTAGGTCGGTGGTGGTAAGGTGGTTAATAATAGGGAGAACCTCCTTGGTAATGGGAAGAGATGGTCGTTATATAATCCTGGGTTTGTTGTCTGTCCCTTCCACCGCACCACAGTAGGACCAGGATGGTACCCAGGAAGCCTTTAGAAATACTGAAGGTATGATGCTGTTTTTGTTATATCCTTTTGTTCTGGCATGTTCGAGGCTGCACTTTCTCTATTCTTACGCCTGTATAATATAACAACACGAAAGAAGAACTAAAGTTTAAAAGCCGACGTTTCGTAGCTTCCACTAGGCCTTCATACGGGGGTACGACTCGTAAAGTTCGGTAAAAAAAGGGGGTCATAGTTGGCCAGGAGCATGGGAGAATCAGTCCGCGGGATTTTGGGCAAATGAACTCTACGGTGGCTATTAAAACTTAGGCTATTAAAAATCGTGATTTTTTCTAGCGTTGCGGAGCGAAAATTCGGATGGTACCCAGGTTAATGCTTTTTGAACCCTCGTTGTTAGTCTGGTGGAGACTACTAGACGTTTCGGTGATCGGAGACAAGTATACTATTCACACTGCGTAATCACTGGATCATCCTTAATGAGTTATGGAGCAGTGCCGGAGTCGCGCGATGAAAACAAGTCCCTTCATATCCACTTATTATTATCAGGGTGGGGTGTGGGGGGGAATCAAAAATGCCTGCTGTGTTCAAGCTGGCTTCAACCTTCCTCCCGCTCACTGCTTCAGGGACCTGTCTCCACCGCACTCCCCGGAGGGCGGATGTTTCCAGTAAATGCACAGAGTGAATGGGCTATCAGCCCCTTATATGGGGTGTGATGACGTCATTGGCGGATTGATCCAATAATTAAGCAGTGAGAAAAGTATACTATTCACACTGCGTAATCACTGGATCATCCTTAATGAGTTATGGAGCAGTGCCTACGTCGCTCCTCTCTTCCGTCTATCCCATCTCATATCCACCTTTTCCTGTCACCTCTTTACTCAAAACCCCATACTCATTCCCACACTAATACCTCCTTTATACCACAAGGCGTATTCTCCTTTAAACAGACCGTCTCAAATATCCTATGTCAGACATGAGGCGATAGATCCCATTGTACTGTTCATCTTTCTTTCGACCGAATGGACTGAGGCCAACCTCTTTCTTCAGGATCTTAATATTCCCAAATGTTGTGCGCTGTCTGACAAAGATGCATTTGCTATTAGTTGGTTCCCATAATACTACTTCGCATGCCATCGGCTCGGCCTAAGTGTTCCCCGTAGTATCCATCGAGCCCAGTACTTCTTATCCTTATCTTATCCGACCGACCGTGGAGTCTCTATAAGAACCTGAATTCCTCCCATGATTCTCCCGTACCACGTTCAGCGCTCTCCTTAACATTCGAGTACCTAAGCACTTTCGTGTGCTAATCTCGCGACCATACATCAGTACATACCCGACCATAGCTGTGAAAAATCTTCCTTGAGTGTTGGAGTCGTATCCCTTGCCATTCTACGCAAAACTTTCCAGA